TGGACCATAATTTATATATTACTATGTTTAATCAAGGTTATGGCTTTGAGTGCCAGCAGTCAGTGGTAGCAGACAAGGGGGAGAATCCGGGCTCTGACCTGTAAAATAGCCACTCACATAGGCTGCATCTCCTGTACAGATTAAGTTGCCAGCAGATGTGACTTGCTGAATTTCAGCTGACCTGGCCAAAGATGCCCCGGAGAGGACACTTGTGAAGAGGATTCCTATCGGTGTGCTGTAGACAGCAACTGCCATCTCCTCTACGAGTTTTTTGATCAAGGTGTACCCTATTTCAAAGGTAGCAGTTAAATTCACTTACCAGTGCAATAATGCTGCAGTCTTTCATCTTACTCTGGTGAAAAACATTAGTTTGACTGCTCTTAATCTCACTGAAAACTAAATAGTTAACCACAGCTTGGTTAGCTAACTAGTGGTTATGAATCCTTGCCTGCTGCCGACTCTGAATGACCCTATCATCCTATACTTTGCTGCTGGTAACTATGAAGACTTCTTTCACAAGGGTGATTTCAGAGCAGTACGTTGTTGCCACTTTAAGAGTTATCAATGGTGGGGCCTTGCCTGGGGGTTGTGAGCTGGGCCAGGGCTGAACAGCCTGAAAACATGTAACTTTTCCGTTAGTTTTGTCTAACCTGGCAGTCATTCTTGTGTTATTATGAAGAAATCAAAAAGCCCTGCATCTTCAGATCTGCTTAAGCTACTGGAGAGCTACACCTTCAAAGTTAGGGAGGTCTTGTTCATTCACAGCAAGTAAGTTAAAACAGTATTAAGTCAATAAAGATTAGGTGGCAATGCTGTATAACGAATAATGCTTGGTCTGGGCATGCATATGTTGAGTACTACATCTTCTATAGTCAATTCATGGGAGAAAGCAGTGATTGTGCACATATGGTATCTTCCTGTTCTTAACATCACCCTTGAAGAAGTTTGATTACTGGGAACTGTCATACTTACTGGTCTGCTACTGACTGTCCAGAGCAAAGAGAACATCACAGTGATGAAGACCAAGATACCAAATAGAGTTTTTAGACCAGTGTCAGCTGAGTGGGTGGATAGAAACCCTGAAGTACTATGCCTTGACCTCAGAAGAGTTCAGAGTCAAAAATGCTGTACAGGTTATGAATTGGAGAAATATGTGGCCAGTCCATGATGATAAATGCAGTTGTGCAGGGCTCTGGGGGAAGAAATGAGCACTGTCTTAGTCCCATTTAGTGTGAGCTGACAACTTAGGCCTGACAAAAATGTCAGACTGAGCCTGTTCTTTCAACATAAGGAGACAGATCCTGAGCAGAGACATAGATCTGAGTAGTCGGTGCAGTGATGGGAACTGAACTTGTTTTGCAGGTGAGATCCCTGAGACAAGATACAGAGAAAAGAGAGACCTGTGAATAGAGAGAGCACTGATGCAGGAGAGTCCTGAGAAGGAATTTCCATGATGGGAACAATACGAAAAGATTAGTAAGTAAGAGTAGTAAGTTAGTAAGAGTATGAGTGTCCTATCCTATTTCAAGAATAGGAAGATTGTCTGAAAAGGAAGATGGGGATGGAGTCTTTTCATTGAATATGGGGGCTGAAAATTTAGCTGGTGAGAGTTGATGTAATTGGAGTAAAAGTGCTACAACAACACTTAAGAGATGAAAAAGAAATGGCTGAAAAGGCACAGGTGTATTTTTTCCAATGATTTTGGTGGTAGGTGGGAAAAATAGAAGCATCTTTCTGCTGAAAAGAAGAATTAAAGCAAGCAAGTGAAGGCTAGAAAAGAGATTCAGAGAGAAATATTGGGGCTACCGGCAGTTGGACAGCGTGATGGGATCAAGGAGGATCTATGGGAGAAGAGCAAATGTTTTGTCTTTGCCCTACGTACCTTGCAGATCTTCCCTTGTTAAAGCTCTCTTATCTCTCATGCAGTGATAAATTTTTTCCTCTTGAGAGGAACTCAGGCTGAGGAAGCTTGAGGAATGGAGCAGCAGGTAAATGTGACTGGTAAATGTGACTCAAAATTCAACTTTCTCCAACTGAAGTGTTTAAATAGATTGAGGAGCTGGAAGAAGGATGTAATCCTGGCAAATGTCAAAAGACAAGGGAAAGAGATAAAGTTGGAGGTGATTCATGTGGATTTTAATATGGCAGAGGAGGGCAGAGAGTTCAAGGTAGTAGGAACTGCCACAGTATCAGTGAAAGTATGGGAGCATAGGGCTAAGGGTGAACAAATGTAAAATGTAATGTCCTCTCTACCACTTCAGAACAACCATATTAAGATTTGAGGAGCTTATGTCTCATACTGTAATACAACAGAGACAGGAATTTTTTTTTTTTAAGCAGTGCGCACTGAAAGAACAAATAAAATGAGGAACTCTTTTTGTGCTGGTGGGAGGAGCAACGAAAAATGTGAAATTAAGACAACAATAGCACGTATGAAAATTAGACTTGCTGGAAATATCTGCACAATATTACATAGTTCCTGCCTTCCTAGACTGGAGAGAGAAGTTGGAGATTTTTTTTTTTCCTTTTGCTTCACTATGGTTCTGTCACAAGTTGCTAGTGACTTAGAACAGTGACTTCTTTAGATTAAGCAGATCTGTGCTGTGTCTGTGTGTGGCAAGGAGTTCTCCGTACCATGTACAAGCAGACAATGTCTGTGCAGACTCTTTTCCTCCTACACAAATGCTGAGGGCATCTTGCTTGTTTTATGGTTGAAAAGGAGGCTTGTTCTGTGGCTTGGACTCAAAACAATGGATTATTTTTTTTTCTTTTCTGTTCTATTAACTGGAAAAAATACATAAAGCACAGCAGCTCTGAGTTAATTTCATTGAATTGCCAGAAGCCTTTGTGTATTCCAAATAAATATTTGGTAATTGTTTTACGGAATAATATTTTTTGGCCTGTAGTCAGAGTGCGTACAAGAGAAAGGATACAACCTCTTGATGAAAATGCCTCTCTTTTTAGGGTGCTATTTCTCTTTCACTCTTTTGAAATGAGAAAAATGATGACAGGAGAGTCTGAGGGATCAGGGATAACCTAATGGGACTGAGGAGGTAGTGAGTTTGAGAAGTGAACAGCCTGGACTCTCAACGGCAAAGTGAATGAGTGGTGGTTTCGTCTGGTTTTGGTTATTGTAATTAAACTGGTATGCTCAATTCTTCCATCCCTGCAGTGCTTGCATGCTCATTCCTTGTCCCCTGGGCATGTGCTCTGCCTTCCGCTGGCTTGCCATGCTGGTTGGGTGAGAGACAGCAGTTCCTACAAAGCCATGCACATAGTGGTAGTTGGGTGCATCCAGGTGGCCAGGGTGTTTTCATCTCCTCTGTTGTTCAGCCATTTAGTTGACTGCAGTACAGCTCCAGAGCCCACAGGCAGCCTGCATTGTGGGGCCAGCTGCCAGTACCTGCTGGCCCATGCCACAGTGGTCATCTGGAGTTGCCCAATAGACTCGGTGGTCTTGGGGCAAGAGAAGAAGATGGGAAGTGGCACAGCTCATGTGGGCTTTGTTTTCTTGGGGAACAAGGCTCCACATATGTAAAAGATGGTTTCTAAAATTCTCTATGGAGCATGGGCTTAGCTTAATTTTAAGCTCAAATCAAGTAAGCTGGTTTATGGCAAATCTACGCCTTAGGATGGTCATATCACTTGAAAGAACTTTGCTGTCTAACTGAACTGAAGGCTGCTGAGTTGCTACCTCTCACTGACTAAAAGCATAAACCCTATGATTTAAGGACTGACCATAGGTGGCAGTTTTTTGTTGTGTTGTTCTGTTGGGTTTTTTTTAAATTACTGGAATAGTTCTCTTCAGTTTGCCTACTTTAAGAGCTATTTTATTCAAAGCTGAGAAATAAATCAACTAAGATGCAGGAAGGCTTGCTTTCTTCTTCTAATAAGGGAGGAAAACTCCTGAATTTAAGATATTGTAGCCCAGAGACAGAGATCCATGTGAATCAGAGATTCTGCTTCATCAGAAGCAAATTACTAGTCCCATCTCTATGCTGAAAACCATGGTTTAGTAAAAATCAAAACTTTCATTTGAGTTTCCAGGTGCCTGTCACGTGTACCTACCCACAGTGATTTTACAGGATTTTTGCTTTTACGTGGGCATCACACAAACACCAGAAGACATTATTTTGTGATGTCACAAGATCACATGTTTTTTCTTGACATAAACTTGAATGAATGCACAGATGTATCTTTGCTTAAATCTAGATAAGGATAGTACCTTTGCAGTTTAAAAGGTGCCAGATAAAGAATATGTTCAACGGGTTTTCCAAATCATGCTGAATTTCACTTACTCTGTAGGAAAACCACTGGCACAAGCACAGTATTAACCTTGATTACTTTAAATTTGGGGGGTGGTTGTGGTCTGCTTCTTGTTTTCACCATGCGTAAGCCTTGTGGTACAAAAAAATTATACTACTCTCATGCTTCTGAACTATATCTGAGTGATTATTTATGAGGTCTTGCACATGAAGGCCTTGAAACATGCCAGAGAAGAGAATTCTGGCTTAGCTGGAAGCCAGAAAGCTTTCTGGAGGTGAGCTTTTGTTCCACCTGCAGCTGAAAAAACTGGAGATAGGAAACAAGATGTGAGCCGTAGAGGAAACTGAATAATAGCTGGATCCAAGATGTTAGTTCCTCTGATGGAGCTTATTTATTACAGTGTCTGCTGGCAGCAAGTAGGAAAGAGTTTTAAACTCATCATTTGCACCATAGAATTGACTTCCACAAACTGTTGTAGAGGAAACATCTGTGGATGGAAAACATCCTGTAACAGATAATACAAGGAAAGAGAAGTGAACTGGCCTGGTTTGTATGTGGTTTTATTGCAGTTATAACACGATGTCTGTGCACTTGATGTAGGAGTTATTGATGTCTCGTCTTTTCCACTTACAAGCAATGTGATACGAACAGTTACCACTTCAACTTCCCGATTCTCCAAACAGCACTGATGCCGCTTCTTCTCCTTCTTTCTTCTCTTTACCTTTCCTATGCAGTCAAAGTATCAGCAGTAGAAGTCAACACACCGGAGGAGATGTTTGTGGAGAATGGGACAGACGCAAAGCTTCCATGCACATTTACATCCGTGGAAGTGATCAGCAGCGCAGCATCTGTTTCTTGGAGTTTTCAACCAGAGGGAGCCGCAACTCGTATCTCAGTAAGGAATGGCTGTAGGGGAACCAACCTGGGAGGGGAGGCTGTGATAACTGTGCAGAAGTCTTCTGCTTGGTTCTGAGGAGCAAGCAGATATGGATTGGGGCTTCCTTCCATATCTCTTGTCTCCATCACTGTGATTTTAGGGGAACTTTTAGAGTTTTTTAAAAGTATTGCTATATGCTAGATCTCTGCAAAGGCTGGAGCATGCAGCAGCTGTAAAATATACTAGTACTTGGAAGAGAGGGCTGTTGGTGTGGTAGCAGTATTTCTGAAGTAGATGTGCATCTAGAAATCTTCTAAGTTCTATATTCTTGTGCACTTGAAATGAGCTGCAGAGCTGTGCACTGAATGATAGTGGTCACAGAATTTAAATTTCCATATTACAGTGTTACATTGTGTGTTGTGCATGTTGCTTATTTTCTGCTTGTGTACTGTTTAGCCTCTGTTTGAAAGGGCTTAAAATAAGACCAGTCTCCCTGTTTTCAGAACAGAATTCAATTGCTCAAATCAGTAAGTAGTTACATATTCATAATGAGTTATTTGACAAGTAAAAAAATCAGTCTAGCAAGCAACTTAGGCTAATAATAATTGCCATCACACGTTTCCTGTATGTTGAGCCCTAGTTTGCTCAGATCCTCTGGGTATGAACCTTCAAGTAAGTGGCCTCAGTAGGTTGTTAGCTGTCTTCCTCTGTCACATAAGATGTGTGCATTGGACTCTGAGCTCTGTGACATTTCTGCTTATCTCCTATTCTTTGCCCTGAGCCAGAATTTGGAGGAGGCAGAACAAGGGACTCTGGGGCAACAGGGAAGGTGCGGGGACAACAGGTTGCTCAGCTTGTTGATGTTTGTCTCCTTCCCTCTGCTGCAGACATGAGGTTGTTTAAACTCTAGAAGCCCTTCAATGCTCAGAATAGAGATGATTCAAAACAGTATATGAGCATCTTGCTCAATATATAGAGCTCTAAAGAATCAGCTTCTGAACTCTCAGTGAATAAATATTTAGTTTTGAAACAGGAGCTCTTCTCTTTGGGAAGCCAAAGCAACTGCTGGGCAAAAGCTTAAGGAAGTAGGGCATATTTCCTGTCAATGTTGAACAGGATGGGTGAAAAGAAGCCATCTGTTTGTATGTTTTCCTCTCTCCATAGAAAAATCTACCATACATCCTGTTTTGCCATTCCCTTTCTGCATCACTGTCCACACTCCTTATTGTAGAAATACAACTTCAAGACGTAACATTTTTTTTGGAAGTGAAGTCAATTCAGACATTCTACCTGGATGTAGTTATCAGGACAACTGAGGAAAAAACAAATCATCTTTGAGCAGAAGTGACCCAGCATGATCTGATGTTCCCTCTTTCTTTTGAGGAGCTGAGGAATGTGTAGAGGGAAGATTTTTTTATGAACCCAAGTCAAGTCAATTACATGGCTGGGTGGGCATTAATTTGAAAAATGAGTCTTATCTTCAGCTTATGTCTGAGGTAAGTCCATGCTTCTCTTGGAGAAGATGGTCCTAACCCCTGGCAATTTTTTGGCTAGGTGGTGAGGGTGACTTGACTGAAAACTTCCCCTGCTTGTCCCCTTCCCCCTCCACATGCCCAGTTATAAAGACATCTCTGCATGAATGAAACATCTGATGACAGCAAAGTTTAACAATCGGCTTAAACCACTCTAAACCCATCAGCTTTAGGTTTCAAAAGAAATCTCATGTTAAATCACTTAATCATAGGCATGGAGTGACTTGAGTCACTTGGCTTGTGTTTCAGGATGTATTTTACTTTGTGATTTCTCCTGCCCCAGGTGAGGACACCTAGAGAGCTAAGGGATCTGCCTCTTGCCTTCTAGACTTCCAGTTGGATGACTCCCCCTGTGCACAGGGGTGTGGTAATGCAGTGCCTCTGTGCTAAAGGTTATAATCCAGCTGGAAATGCTGCAGACTGATGCAGATTTCCTCTGAAATGTTGACAGATGACTGTGTGCTAGCAGACTCCCTATCAGATGAGATGGGTTGTTGGATTTATACTAGCCTGTAGACAACAATTAAGTGTCAGATTGACTGCAGCACAACAGATGGTCATGTGCACATACCTGATTTGGGTCAGGTTTGTGCTGCCAAATGATCAGATATTCAGAGTGTGGGTCTGATGTTGGAATGGCAAGCCTCAGATCAAGGGTAGGAACAGGAGAAGAGATGGGAGATGACTTGAATAGCTTGTAGCCAGTCTGTTCTGTGGCACAGAGACTGCTTCATAAAAAAAGGATGTAGAAAGAGGAAGCTGGAATATTGTCTTAAATTTCTTTAACCTTGCTCTGCAGACTGAACTAAAGAGAGTTTGAGTTGATTCTTGGTTGAGTTAACGCTGTTTCTCCCTCCTTCAGAATGTGAAATTAAGAATGAACGTGCCTCTGCAATACAGCTTTGATCCCTGTCTTAGGGTTAATGACCAGTGTTCAAACATCCTATATATTTGAAAGCAGAGTTGTCCTGTTGAGGTCTATGCACTTCTGCTGTAAATTTCAATTTTGGTGAGGTATAGTGAGAAAATATGCAGTTCCACCTCAGACTGTATGAAATAGTTTCATTTTTCAAGGATTTTTGGTCATGTCTAGGGAGTGCAGGGCCAATGTGCAATTTAGTCACCTAAAAACTTGGAAACAATTATATTTAGTCACTGTGAAGGTTTCTGGAAAACAGCTAGGTACACTCTAAATTGCTCTTGGGATTTTTTGGGGGGTGAAGGGAAGGAGGGTACTGTGTGTTCTCAGCTGTGCTGTAGTTATAAGTAACACATAGCAAAACATGAGATAGGAAACTTGGTATCCTTTTCCTACTAGGATGCAGAAGGCTTCCTGTGACTGAAAGAGAGATGGCTGTGATCCAGAACTGTTCTATCCTTTGATTATTCCCAGGTTACCAGCCTTTTTCTCTTTTACCCACCTCCTTGTCTGCAAAACTCCATGTTCCCAAAAACAGGGGAAAAAACCCTAAACAATCCAACCAAAACAAAAGACCCACAGAGAACTGAAACTTGAAGTCTGTCACGATAGTATGATTGAGGTATAAGCCATAGCATGGTTACGTGATCAAGAAGCAACAAGCCAGACTAAAGCCATGAGGCAGGAGGAAAAACATCTCAAATACTAGCTGTGTATAATACAGTGGATTCTGGAAGAATGCTGTAATAGTGAGAGAAGTGTGGTAGCTCTGTATTCTCTAACTGGATTGTTCTTATATCCTCTTTTCCTTGACTACAGTTTTTCTATTACTTTAATGGAAAGCCATACCCTGGAAAGGACATACCATTTAAAGACAGGATCACTTGGGCTGGAGATCTGAACAAGAAAGATGCTTCTATCAGTATATCAAACATGCAGTTCCGGGACAACGGCACTTACATTTGTGATGTCAAGAACCCACCTGACATTGTTGTCAAACCAGGAGAAATCCGAGTTAGAGTTGTGGAGAAAGGTATTCACCCTATATGATTTATTTTCTTTCTGTTCCACCCCCTCCTCCCCCTTCTGTGTCTATATCACTTTTCTTGGGGGTGGGGGAGTAGCCTGGAGTGAATAACTGTCTTTTTAATTGTCTTCTTCCAGGTCCTAATAATTGAATTTATAATCTGTCAGCTGTTTAAAACACTAAATGTCATACCCTTTTCCTCTCTACCCACTGATTCCTGTGCTTTTAACAAGTATTAGCAAAAGCTGATGGAAACCTTGATGAAAACCCATCTTATTTCAAAGTGTTATGATTTTTTTTGTATTATGGTATGTGAAGAGTTAGGATGACTTTTGAAATCTGGGGAGCAAGGAGAGAAAGTGGCAGACCCTTCTTTCTGGGACCCAACCAGTATATATACTGGAAAACAAAACGAATAACTGGCCCAAGCATGTACTGACAGACAGCAAAACGCTGCTCTCTTCGATGCGAAGGTGTTTATTTTGGATGTGTGTTCAGGCTCTTTTACTCAGATGTTCTTACAGTATCTATGGTGACCCTTATAAACTGCAAGGGCTGGCTACTTGCAGTCATTTAAAGCTTCTGATTAGCATTTGGCAACAATAACCACAGTTCAAGAGCACTTACATTCTGTATATCAATTTGGCTCTTCATTTCCCTTGGCCATTCGAAACATTTGGTTGTTCTAGCTAAGTTGGAGGTCAGCCAAAGTGGGACTGTTCCTAAAATGAAATGGTTCTTTCGGTGATCAGATTTCCAAATTTATAATTTAATAATGACAAGAATAAATGTTGAATTCATAAATGTCAGTGCCAATACAGCTATTCCATTAGATTTTAATACGTTAGGGAAGATACCTGTGTGCAAGCTCCAGTTAGAATGATACTGCTGCTATAACAGGTGTGTACCCCTGCTCACGAGGTCATTCCTTGTACTTTTGTAGCCAAGGTCTATGTCTGACCCTTCTCTTCACAGAGCAGTTTGAATTGGATGGGACCTCCGGAGGTGCCGCCATGACTTAGAACTTCCTGTTTCTGGGAAGTTTGAAGTCTATATAAAATAGGGTCAGTTTATTTTCTTACAATGTGTTGATAGTCTCTATGAAGAAGCAGTAAAGCAACTGCTGGTTTGGCAAAGTCAGGCTGTCTGAGCAAAGCCTCTTCAGATTTTAACGCAGGTTAAGCAAATCAAGACTGACTTCAGTACACTAATTCAGCTGATATTTTTTAACAGACTTGCATGCCGGCTTCCCCATAGGTGGAGCATCTGGACAAGAGAATCTCACTCTTTCTGAAGGGAACCCTGTATTTGGCAATATACTTCTCATCATCAGAAAAATGCTGCAACAATTTTCTTCAAATTCTTAGGAAGACCTTGAAAACAGGTTTTCAAGCTCTAGCTGTAATGCTATCTTGCATTCTGACTTTACTGAGAAGTACTGCTCCTGTAATAGGTTGTAACTCATCCTGAACTGAGCTGGAGACATTTTTTCAATTGAAATAAATACATGTTGACTCTTGTGCATATTTATATATATATATTTTACTACGTATTCATTTAATTGTTCTGAATCATATGTCTGGTGTTGTAAACTCTTCAAAGCCACATACATACTTTACACATTTAAATGATCTCATAGATGCTTGGTTAGCCTTACATTTTGAATTAAAAATTTAATAAGTTCTGGGGTGGCTTAACTGTTTAAAATTGCCAAGCCAAGCTAACTCAGCTGATTTTCACTGCAGTATCTACATAGTGCTCCAACAGCTCCATCAACTACATTGGAAGAATCCTACTAACAGGAATGAGAAACAAGACTGTTCTTTCGCTAGTGCATCTAAATCTGGAAAGGGCTACTTTTCAAATCCCAAATGACAGAAATTTGTAGGGAACTCCAAGTCCTTACGTTAGGCTGCCACTATTTGTAATAGGAAGCTACTTAACACTGTGTTCAAGGCAGCTTGTGTTACCGGGAGGTAGTCCATCTTTGATCTGAATTCTCATCGTGGAAAAAATTAGAATTGTCATATGAAAACATTAGCAGCAATGGAAAACTTTAGTTTTATCAAGTACCTTCAATATTTGATAAAACTGATACTAACACACTTCGAGCAAAAATGGAAGTTGCTTTTAATTACAGTGATATTTAGTGAAAAGTATTCTTTGAAAGGCTGGATTTTTGGCTTGTGTTAAGTTGTTAACCTAAAAGTTAGTTTTCAGGGCTGGTGTTTGGTTGTGTAGCTGGGACTGTCTGTTACAATGAAGTCATTGGCTGCTCTGCAAGTAGTTATGAGGAATTAACGTAACAGTGGAATGCTGCAAAATATAAGAAAAACTAGGGGGAAGCATTCTTCAAGTGAACTATGTGGTCGTAAAACTGTGTGAGCTTTTCTATAGTCTGTTGAACTATGTTCTGAGAGACAATAAAGCCAGACTCTGTTTCACATGCAAACAGTTGCATTTTTTATGTGGTCTTAAAAACCTCTGTCAACAAAACATAACTGCTGTCCTTTGCTCAAATTCAACCAACCAAAAAGCCCCTCCTGATTCAAAGAAATCTATCAGATTAGAAAACCATCAGATTAGAGCCAAAGTTTTAATATCACGCTTGCAACAGACACTCTGCACTATAGTTTTGGGTTGCTGCTCACTTTCTTGCTCTGAAAAAGTGTGTATGTGGGGTTTCTTGGAAAGGTGAAAAAGCACAGAAACTCAGGAACTCCTACTTCTTATCTGTCTCAAAATAAATTTGTTTATCTTTGCATGGGGGTCAAACACAGTCTTAGTCTTCTGTACCTGAAAAGTATTACCGTTTGTAGGACTCTGTTAATAGTAGATGGATATCTGGGCTACCAAGAGGTTCTGGAAAAAAGGGATGTCTTCATCTTTAATTTCTTACTAAGGCTCTGAATTGCCATGTTGTTATGAATTGCCATCTAACACTGGAGAGCTAGGAAAGCTGCTGATGTAATAGTTGGCCAAATGATGGTATGCTAAGTGAAATGGCTAGAGATCAGGTAACCCTTCCCCTGATAGTTGCTGAACTCAAAACAAACATTACTAAATGTAAGCCCTGTTTTCTTAGTATGATGCCCCTGCTTCAGGGTGCTATGTTGTGCTGCTCCCTTCTACATAAGTATGTTGAAATGGGTTTGGTCTACAGACTGCAAGCTTTCTGGGATTGCTTTGTATAAGCACGGCCTGTAGTCCTCGCTGGAATGAGTTCCAGCAAAGTGTGGCTAAGAAGGGAAACTAAGATGATTAAGAGACTGAACCACCTTTCATACAAGGAGAAGCTGAGAAAGCTGGGGTTGTCTAGTCTGCAAAAGAGAAGAAAGGCTCAGGGGGATCCTCTCAGCAAGTGTTTATATACACTGACAGGATCTAAAGAAGACTGAGCCAGGCTCTTCAGTGGTGCTAGTGACAGGACAAGAGACATTGGGTATAAGTCAAAACATGGGAAATTCTGTCTGAACGTTAGAAACCACTTTTTTTTTGCTGTGGTTTAACACTGGAATATGTTGTCCAAATTGATTATGGAGTCTTCTATCCTTGGTGATAGTCAAAACCAGACAGGGTATTGAGCAAACTGTGCTAGTTGACCCTGCTTGAGCGGTGGGGTTGGTCTAGGCAATCTCAAGACATCCCTTCCAACCTCAACAATGCAGGTGTCTGAGAAAGATTTTTCTATGTAAGATGTTTTACCTGTTGGACCTTGCACTGAATCACTGGTATTTAGTGCAAGTAGCTAGTGTAGCATATAGTCTTGTGAGAAACCTTCTGGTCTGAGACGTTCCTTGCATTAAGCATGATGCAGGGGGAGGGATTTTGTTTCTTCCTGGGAAAAACTATAATGGTAGTCTGCGTGTTCTTAATCTTGTGATTTGTTCTCATTCTCTGATTGGCTTTTATTTCTGGCTGCTCTTTCTTGGCCTACCCTCTCCCAAAATTATATTGGGGAAAATGTGAGTAAAGCAATACTGTGTTCCTGTAAGTGTATTTCTAATATTGTGCAATGATCCTGACTTAAGACAGGCAAGAATGGCTCTACAGAAATGTATAGAGATGTATTATGAGACACCGGAATCATATATAAACAATCTTAAGAGTCATCATGGGTAGTAACTGGGCTGTCTGCTGCATGCTACCCAGAGAACACCCAGCCTTCAGTGCTCTTAGTCGGTTAGCAATGCGCTACGTTCAGATCTGCTTTCAAGTGTGCCTGCCTTTTCCTGTTGACCTTGCTGGGAATTGCCAGATACAAAATAAGAGAGGGTTGTCCTCATTGTCACTTGTGTTCCCTGACATATAAAAATTCTTGGTTCAAAATAAACTCTCTTCTAAAGGACAGTGACATTAAGAACACTCTTGGTGTGTGCTCCATTTATATGTTATTTTGCTGGCTGCCTGCTCTCACTACCACTTAGGCTGCATGTTATAATTCCTGGGTATTACGTTAGTGCCTTCTGCTCTAAACAAATCCAAGGTCAAGAGTATTTGTGGCTTGAACTTCTGTTAATCAGGGAATGCAGAAGAGTTGAATGTTTTCTCCCTTCTCTCCCCAGACAGCCTGCCTGCGTTCCCTATTGCCATGGTGGCAGGGATAGTCATCGGTACGGTTACAGGTCTCTCACCGCTCATCTCTATTGTCGTGTGTCTTGTCATCAGAAAGAACAACTCTAAAAAACGATACTCTGGGTAAGAGATCTCCCTCCTCACCTGTGGATGATGTGAGGAACAGCAGCAGGATCAGAGGGGAGGGCTTGTTTCAGCCGAGTCTGGGCAACCATGGCTAGAGATAGAGTATGTCCATGTGGAACACTGGTCATCTGCCTATAATGATTATCTTTGTACTATGCTTGAAAAGACCTATTGACCATGAGTTGCACCCAAAAATCACTATATGTTGGAGTTGGTCCCCAGCCACAAGTGTATATGCCCTTTGAACGTTTAATTCAAGATCCCCTCACTCTGGTCTGTTCCCCTTCCCTTTCCTCCTGCTCTGCCTCCCCCTGCCATCCCCCATCCCCAAAGAAAAGTGCCACACATGCACTTTTAAGGAATGCTCAGTGTTGAGATTAAGACTGGATTTTTCAGTTACCAGTGTCTGGCTTCTGAGCCTGGAGTATACTTGCCAAAACCCCATTCATCACCACACTTCAAAGTAAAGAAGGAGTATCCACTCTGCATCCATTCTCCTACACTGTCTGCTTTTTGTTAACTGTTACCAACCCTGCAAGGTTTTTAGTGTTAGGAGGATAACTCCGAAGTGAAGCACAGATCTTTGAGTGGACATAGGAAAAAGCAACAAGAACTAACAAAGGCAGATTTGAGTCCTGTGGTGATGGAGCTTGGTGCTGGTGCGGGAAGCCCTTCCTCTTGTCTCCTCTCTAATTAGCTGGTAACTTGCTTCTATAAGAAAGAACAAAAATTACATATGTAGTCTTAGAAATAAACCCCAAACCTATAACTTTCTTTTGTTCTTTTCCCGACAAATGTTCCTGCTTCCTACAGGTTCTTTGGGTTGCCTGTGGGATAAAAGAGAATAACTCCAAAAATAAACTTGTGGGGATTTCTAAATTAAACTTGGCCCTGTCCTTTTCCCAGTTTGGAGAGCTTAGAGAAAGTGAGTTGGCTGTTGCCCAATGGTAAGGCTAAATATAGCAAAGGTGGCTGTGTGTGCTGAAAATTGTGTGGAAAGCCTGGTTTTCCCTTTCTGCATGTGCCCTTCCCCTAAGAACTGAAAAGAAGCCTGCAGTGTCCTGCACCAGCAGTGCGCGTGAGGTGGTCCACTTGCCTTGCTTCCCAGTTACCTGCTCTACAGTGTATTCCTGCTGAAGGACACATGCTGGTGCAGAGCCTGGAGCAGTAGTTCATGCATTGTAATTTCTTGTAGTAGATTTAACTACTCTCTCGGGAAAGTAATCTCTGAAGTTTAAATACTGCTTTCGCTGACCATGCCAGCTCTGCATGACATGTAAAGAGAAATCAAGTGTGCTGTGACCTCCTCCAAGCTTACGGACTATCTTCTACATGATGCTAACCCAGTGTGTGGTGGTGGTGGTGGTGAGATGCACTTGCTCTTAGATAACCATTCTGCCTTGAACTGAGGTGGGCTGGGGCACTGCGCGGCATCTGGAACCCTTGCATGGCCACGGTCTCCATTCATGCTCTGACTTTGGTATTTTGTTTTGTTTTGTTTTGTTTTTTTCTTTCTGCCTTGGTGTGCTGGGATCGGATCCTGCTTACGTTCCTCTCCTTACAGAGATCCTGATATAGACGCCAGATTGGGAATGTAACAGGGCTGGGTCTTCTCTTCCAGTCCCACTAGACACCATGGTAACTAATCAAATTGGTGATTGCTGTTAATACTTGTGTGTATGTGTACACATTTCCTCTTCCTTTGCTGACTAACCAGCTAGCTCTCTACTAACATAACTTCACTGTAATTTGTGCTGGAATCTGTTGGCAAAGGGATGATGCATTTCAGTGGGTGCTTGGGTTTCATTGTCTCATGTCTAACTGGGGTGGGATTGCTGCTTCTGCCCAGTGGTGTCCCTCCATCTCTTCCAACAGTGAACTTGCCAGTGCATTGACTAAAGCACAGGAAATTCAGAGCCCTTTCTGTGTCAAAATAAGTAGTAAATTCCCTATAAGTGTTCCATTGGCTCAGACAGTTTGTGTGTTTGAAAACTTGCAGTGATCTAAGTGCGTTAGTTGCTTAAGGCTGCATTATGACTTTTAGATAGTGTAGTTCTGAATAATTTTGTGAATAAATTAAACAATTCATGATTACATCATTTTGGTAACAGAAGGGCTGCTTTGTCTCTGTTTGAGACAGTAGAAGCCCCTTGCCATGATGGCTGGGGACAGTATTTTTATTTTCTTACTGCTGTATGTGTGAGGAGCTAAGTCTTCTATGGTTAGGCTTACCACAGGATAAAAAATTATTTCCCTGTGAGGAGGTGGTCTGCTTAATGTCACTGTCCTCGTTTGCTTGTATTCTGTATTGCTTTGTACACTGTCTGTCTCAAAAATGGTGGGGAAAGAATGCCCAGTGGTTAGAGGGTTGTGGTAGCAAAGGGAACTCCTGTATCTGCTGTTGAGGAGGTGGTTAGTTTTCTTTCCTGGGTGCTTGGGTATGAAGAGGTAGACCTAGCATTTAGAGACCATTACTGCATTACCCAGAAGCTACTGATGTTAAGTGTAAGGGCATTTACTCATATACTTAGCTCTGTGGTATTAATTTCTCTGTCTGCTTGTTTTCTTTTCAGTCCTGCTTTAAGCAGCTGGAGAAAAGCAAACAGTGAAAACTGGCAACCTTCTTTTAGGGGTGTTGGTTCTCACCATGAGACAGTTGTTTGAAAAACAAAATTTGCCTGAGTAGATATTTGAGTAGCTATATCAGGGCACATAGCTTACCTGTCATGTGTGACTCTTAAAGCAATTGTTCCAGACTAGTGTCTGTTGTGAGTGGGCAGAATTATTTTGGAGTTGTAGCCTAGCCAAAAGACAGTGAACTAATGTGGAGTTTGATAGGAAGTACTGTGCTGATATGGAGAGTTGGTGGCTCTTGAAAGTGCTTGCTTTAACTGTGGCACTGGTATAACATTTACCTCAGTGACTGGAACTATTTAGCTTACAGTTAGAAGATAATTGCTGTTTACCACTGTTAACTGAATCTGAAGCCTCAGTGGAGAACACACATATGGCTTTAGACAGGTGGGGTTGAATGGTAACATCTAGGGAATGGGGTTTGGAGGAGCTGCTGTGCTATGTTAATAGCTGTTCCTTCATGTTGCTTACCAGTGAGACTCTGGGAGGAAGGGTAGAGAAACGTCTGGGGAGAGATGGAGAATTATATGTGTTTATTTCAGAATCCATTATGTTCATTTTTACTTTGGCATAAACTGCCATATTCATCTTGCCATCACTCGTTTTTTGTTTTTGTTCTTTTTTTTTTTTTTTTTTTTTTTTTTCCTTTTTAAATTTCAGAAAAAAAAAAAAAAAAAAAAAAAAAAAAAAAAAGTTCTAGGAAAAATATTAAACCCATTTAGGAATAATTTTGATTCCTTCCCTCTTTTTTTTTTTTTTTTTTTTTTTTTTTTTTTTTTTTGTGTGTGCCTCTTGAACATTGTCGTGCAAACTCTGCTCTGCCACCTCGTCAGCTGCAGTACCTCTGAGAGCTTGATGTCACCGGTTAAGCAGGCTCCACAGAAGTCGCCCTCCGACACAGAGGGTCTGGTAAACACCGTGCCCGCCAGATCGCACCAGGTAAACTGCTTCCTGCTGCTTCCCAAAGCAGGATCCTCCTAGAGCGTGTGGGAGATGGTATGGAAAAGATAAAGGCAGGGTGGGACACAGGAATTGGGTGCTGTCTGTCAAGGTGATGGGGGCTGGGGTGTAAAAGTGTCTGCTCTGAGCAAGGGGTGGGCAGGAAGAGGGACTGGCGAACTCTTCCGTTAGCAGACTTAGTGCAATTGGAAGAATAGCATCTTGGTATTATGTGAGGTGGAATTTTTTGCCCTTTTTGTACTAATGTATAAAAAAAAAGATGGTTCTGATCTTGTGCGTTAACATACGCAAGCGAGAGTGAGAGCCTGGCAAGGAGTGGGCAGTTTAATGTAGAGACAACATCATTTACTAGATGTGTAGTCACCCCATAAACCTGCCTAATCTGTTCTGGGGTTGTAATGGGGAGGAATTTTACTTACTCTCTCATCACTGTGAAGGTGGATGCCCTGTGGCATGTTCTTCCTTCACAAGGAAATGAGCCAGCGCAGTGCAAACACCGAGTAGTGATGATCAGTTTGAAGATGGTTCTTGCTGCTGAGAGCTCTCCTCTGCTGAGCCACCCAGCTTTTGTGGCCTTCAAATTGCCACGCTTTGTCTTATGCTTGCTGCTGTTGGCAAAGTTCTGCTGAATTTGAAGGAAAAGGGTGACTCTTATCCGGGCTTAACATCCCGTGGAAAATTAGAAGGGAGAGGGCATGAGTCAGACGGGGATTCTGTGCAGTATATGATTACCTGTTAAGAGTGAACATGATTTCCTTATTTGTAAGCTGTGTCTTACGTCTTGATTTGTGTATTCCCAACAATTTTCCCATGGAGGTATCCTGAGTGAGCCCAAGTCCAAAATGGACTTTTTCTTAATTGGCCACCTTGTAGCAAGTGGCTGCAGAGTAGTGTGTGAACCGATGGGTTTCTAAATCAAAGTTAATACCCGATTTCTTAATTTCTCCCAACAAAATAATGGAGATATGCGTTAAGGTGTTAACGCTACAGAAAAAAAAATACAGTGCTGCCAATGAGCTAGATAAAGTTAAAGTTCCAGTCTGGTTTTGAAATGCATCTTATTCTTGGCAGATGCAGTATTTCCAGAGTTTTAGCACGTAGGCCCACAAAGCTACCTACTGGCTTCAGAGAACAGTTATTCTCTGAACATAAAGGCAACGTGCTGCAGCTATAAGATTTAAAAATAGTTTGGTTTTTGACTGAATGGGTCTCCAGTAGCATCAGGCTGCCTGTAAGGCCTAGATAAAGCTCATCTTTTCTAGTTCATGGTAGGGGCTCCTAGAATGGGTGAAAGAGGCAGGAGATTCCCACCTCCCTTTCTCCTCCTCCCACCCCCCCGAAAAAAAAGAAAAAAGCTTAGGTGTGGGACATATGTTGCAGTAGCTGTTGGAGTCAGCTCCCCTATGTCGAAAGACAAAGATGCTTTATCTAATTACTGTCATGGTATGAAGCAGTACATGCAAGTGCCTTGAGGGCTGCATGAGAGAACAGTTTTGCTGTTATGTGCTTACATCTTGAAAGCAGAAATACTTTCCTTTTCTCTGTAACGTTTTGGTGTGAAAACTTACTGTGTCCTCAGCCTTCTGTGTCCCCAGTGTTCTGGGGGACAGTGTACAGGAAGGAACATGTTAGAGTAAATCTAACTCAGAACTGGTGTGCTTTTGCCCTCTGTAGTCACTCCAGTCTGCTTATTCCTTGACAGAGTCCTCCAGGGTCTTCCCGCAGGTAAGTTCCTAAAGGAAAACACAAAGTGTAAACACTGCTGACCTCAAAGGAAAAACATGGGAAGTGGTTTTAGTTTTGTTTAGTTTTAGTTTAGATTTTTAATCTCCGTTGTTAGACAAGGAGACCTTTGCCTGGATTTTCATTCCTTGGCAAACGTTTGTAGCAGTAAGTGGTTCCTCTACCTTCTGTTAAGCATTTGTCTCATCTTTACAGAACAGAAAGTAAACAAATTTACTTTTCTTAAAAAAGATCAAAAATAAAATCAAGGCAGATCAGGTTTTGAACAGATGGTTTAAATCAGTGAGGAAACTAAATTTCAATTGATTACACTTATATTTTTAACTTCTAGACATTGTTTTGTTGTTTTTTGGTGTGTTTTTGGTTTTTTTTTAAAGGGTGCTATCAGCATGCAAAATAACATATTTGAAAACTAGGATCACGTATAAGTAAAACCTGATGTTTCTTGGTAATCAAGCAATCAGTTGTAGTATTCAAGCTTTTGAGCTGTTGTGTAGGTGGAATGCTTGTATTCAGGTTCCTGGTAGTTCCCAGAAGCTGTTGCAGGCTGCTTGCTGATTCAGGCACACTTTTGTGTCTTGGCTTGCCTGGAAATTACAGGCCAGTGGTTCAGAGAGTCAGTGCTGCGGGTAAACTATAAAGAAGCCCACAGGCCTTTACTGCCTTTGAGTTGGTAGGATGTGTAGGAGGTGGCTGAATGTTTCATGCTTCGCTGGTGAAGAAAAACTGTGAATACAAATACACAACCCCTGCCTCTGCAAGTTAGAAACAGTAATAGAGGTGTTCACTCTCCAAGAATGGTGTTAAAATTAAATTTATTAAGTGAAGTTTTTTTCATTTTGTTATTTATGCGTCAGTTTAAGAATCAGTGATGAAGTATGTCCATGTTGCTTCTCAGCTGAAAGTGCACTTGACCCTGCACTTCCTTTGTGTTTTGGGTGCAAGTTCATCAAAGTGTGGACCTTGCTTTCTGGAGTCCCCCATAGTGCTGAAAGTACACATCTGATTCTGCGCATGTTCAGTTGGTTCAATCAACTCCACTTGTTTTCACTGTGTCTTTCTTCCCAGCAGGTATGTTCTGTCCTGTCAAATTTGTATGTGGTGTTTCTTCTCCATGCCATCATTCTGTAGTGACTTGTATTCTTCCATGACTGTTCTTTGGATGAGTGAGAAAAGCATTTCCAGTGAAGGCAAGAACTCTGTGTGTTTCCCAGATGTATGTCTGTGTTTAGCTAGTAATCTGGGTTGCAGCAAGCAAACTGGAAGGCAGATGTGTATTGTCCCGAGAAGTGCTAACTCCAGGCTGGCTATCATTTATCTTTGTGCTTTGCAAGCAGCCAAGTATTCATTTCTAGGCAGGCTGAAGGACCACTCATCTTAAAGCATAACTTCCATAGAAGTGCATTTCTGATGTACAAAGCAATATGGTATAGAGCTCCTAAGCAGGTAGGGCTGTCAACGTAGAAGTGGGAAGGGCTAAAGCTACATTAATTTAAGCTCAGATTTCTGGCTTTGCTCCTTCTGGTTTAAGACATGCTTGAACAGTCTCAGTTCAGGGTTTGTTCCAGGCCTTAACTGGACCCCAGGATCCTGGGAAGGAACAGTTCATGGAGCTGGGAATCTTGACTTAAATTTGCTGGAGCTGGAATCTATGGTAGCAACATCTTTCAGAATCTAAAAAAATCTATTAGACCTATTAGGTGGTCTAACTTTGCAATTCCTATTTCTTTGCTGTAACTTGCAATTCATGACTCTGTGAACAAGCTTTGAGCGTGGTATTGGTGTGCCTGCCACTCTTTACCCTTTGGTTCTGAATGGAAAAATTGCAAGGCTTAGGGAAATGCTGGGTTTTATATGGCAGTGCTGGTCAGTCTTCTGGTTCTGAAGAGTCAGGATGAGTTTATTTGGGATTAGGTTAAAGTTCTGAATTTAGATTTTTAAAAAGATTTTAACTTGTGGAAGAAGAATCTTTACAAAGATTCAGATCACTGGAGGTATCAAATACTGGAAAAATGGCCCTGCTGCTGATTATAATCAGCTAGAAAATCAGTTGGCAGCAAATCAAATAGATGAATCATTATAATAGATCCTCCTTTTCTCTGTGTTAGCTAATCTACCACTTATTTAGATGACAGTGAACACATCCACACAATGGTAGCTCGGTTTGGATCAGGTGATCACACCAGCCAGTCTCTCCACCACCTCCTAACATGCTGGTTGCAGCAGAATAACTATATTTAACCTGGCATAAAATTAGAATAGTGATAATTGGCCCATCAGAATTACTTGAACAAAACTTGAACTGTCATAGTGAATACTTAGTTCCCTGGTAGATTTTTTAAAATATTTTTTTAGTCTGATAGGAGGTGCTCTTAAGCTGAATTTATCACACCCTGGACCTATGGTTCCAGGCAAATGAGAATTCCAAAATTGCTTACAAATAAACAAAGGTCACTTTGCATTGAAGTTTGTATAGGCACTGCACTCCAGTTGGAATTACTAATGTAATACTGATATAATCGTACTCAAATGGTTTGAGTTGGAAAGAACCTTAAAGATCATTGAGTTCCAACCCCCCTGCCATGGGCAGGGACACCTCCCACTAGAGCAGGTTGCTCAAAGCCCCATCCAGCCTGGCCTTGAACACCTCCAGGGATGGGGCATCCACAACTTCCCTGGGCAACCTGTTCCAGTGTCTCACCACCCTCACAGTAAATAATTTCTTTCTAGTATCTAATCTAAATCTCCCCTCTTTCAGTGTAAAACTGTTACCCCTTGTGCTATCACTACACTCCCTGACAAAGAGTCCCTCCCCATCTCTCCTGCAGGCCTCCTTCAGGTACTGGAAGGCTGCAATAAGGTCTCCCTGGAGCCTTCTCTTCTCCAGGCTGAACAACCCCAGCTCTCAGCCTGTCCTCATAGGAGAGGTGCTCCATCCCCCTGATCATCTTTGTGGCCCTCTGCTGGACCCGTTCCAACAGGTCCATGTCCTTCCTGTGCTGAGGACTCTAGAGCTGGATGCAGTACTCCAAGTGGAGTATATATAATGTTGGAGACCAGAACAACATGAGAGCCAACAGTGTAAAAAAAAACCACAACAAAAAGTGGCTCTAATGAGACTTTAAGTCTAGAATTTTCTGAGACATCAGTATCTCTTTTTTGAGCATTTCCTCAGTCTGTTATTTATATTCAGCATTTTATATCTGCTCACAAGCTTTCATCCTTCTGTCCATCTCCTTCCTCTTTTTCTTTATCACTTGGGAAGGGCTTTACCTGGTAGCTAGAAACTTTGGGTTTAAACTACCTCTGAAAGAGAATGAGGTATTTAGCAGATGCATGCTTTGCTATTGTGTTGTGGGGAAAACAGCTGTGCAGAAGTGTACCTATATAGTCCTTCAAAGACTCAATTTTCTGTACAGAAGGTGTCTTTTCATCTCTGGCCCCTAATTGCTTTGGAGGATGGATGGAAGGATTTCTGGGTCAGTTCCATAGAGATGTTTTCTAATTTGACAGGATACCAAAAGTACTGGGGAGAAGGAGATGCAAAAAATGCCTGTGAAGGCGACTTCTTCCTGGGACATAAGGGAAACGGAAGCAGAGTTAAATAAATGAAATTATTTTGAAGCAAAAACTGCTAAAAAAGCTGCAGCCAAACTAAAAGATCTCTCCTTATGATTTCCCCCACCCTCAAATAGGACAGTCCCTTTCCCTCCTGCACAAGAGGTGTGTGTGGTGTATGATGTCTCTGCCGAGGTCACCTGGTAGGTGGTTGCAGCCTTCTGCTCTGTGCTTATGTCAGTTTGGGTGTGCAGAATAGGAGCTGCAGGTCAGACCTTTCCATAAAGGTCCCACCTGTCTTGTTGGGTACCTGCTTTTTACAGGCTGCAGTCCTGTCCTCAGCCCACCTCGAATAGCTGCAGTTCGCTTTCCTGTGGGCTGTGTTTTTGGAGGACATGGTGTTTTAGGGAGGCTGGCGTGTTTGCATGCTCTGCTGAAAGACGGTGCTGTCGTGTCCTCCACTGCACCCCAGCAAATAGAAGGAAGGCGTGTGGCCGTGCTTGTGTCTGTGGAGGCCCTCACAGCCTGGGTTGGCTTGGAAGTCAGGTAAGAATTCTGCGTTGCTGCACCATTTTGGTGTGTTCTGGCTCGCTGCTGTGCAAGTCTTGATCCCGTCAACTTGCCTGGGCAGTGACCAGTGTCATAACGTGGCTGCAGGTTTGTTCCCTCCCTCATTATCCGAGTTAGTACAGCTGTGCTGGGATTTACAGGATTTGAGTGGCAGTGTCGGGATGCATACTCTGCTGTCTGCTGGTAAATCTGTAGTACAGTTCCTCTTGAAAAACATTAAATCTGGCATGCACCTCACTAAGCCATGCGTCTTTGCTGCATAGCATGTAAAATTTAGTGCTTTTCAGAACAAAAAAAAATGCTAGGTTTTGCTTTTTGTGAGAAGCAAGCAGCTGTAGCAGTATTTAGAGGAGGAAATGGTGCTGTTTGGCATGCTCCTGACGGGAAAAAGGTGGCAGACTAGAGCTCATTTGTAGGTGAGGCTTCATTCCACCTGCTTCAAAGTGCTGTTAGCAGTCATAAAAGCTCTGTGGTCTTGCTTTAGCTTTGGTCTTGCTGCAGCCCCTGCGGAAGCAAGGGGCAATATGGCCTGTTCTGAGAAATACTGATTGTGCTTTTGTTTTTTTGTTCTGTTCCCAGGGCCCAGTCATTTATGCGCAGTTAGACCATTCCGGAGGACAGCACAGCGACAAGATTAACAAGTCAGAGTCTGTGGTCTATGCTGATATTCGGAAGAACTGAGATGAGATCTTAAGCTATCCAAAGGAAAACACACATTCAGACTGGAACTGCTTGAACAAGATTTGACCCAGAGAACTCACATGTGGCCTTTGATGCCTAGGCTAGGACCAATGCATGTGCATACAGAGGGAAAGATATATATGTATTGTGTGTAAATAGTCTATTTAATCGTACAGAAGTGAGACCAATGTTGCATGTTGAAATGCGGTAAGAATTTGCTTATAAATTGCCAATATTCTTTTTAGTATCTTATGTGACGAGAGAGAAAGTGAAAACTCACATCACATTTTAAAAATATTTTTATCTTGATTATTAATGGAGAAACTGGAAGATGCCTGAAGATTCTAGGCTGACCTGGAGATTTTTTTTTTTTTTTTGCTTATAGGTCCTAATTTCTTTTGTTGAAGTGAATATAGACAAGATATCTTCTTTATATTCACAGAGTTCTTTATGCGTACAGGGTATTCATCTTTCCTTGGTTAGATTCTCAGTACAAGCTGCCTTCTCATATAAACTAGAGATTCTCACTTGGTCTTGTAAGGCCAAATTGTGACTTCTAGCTATCAGAAATGTATGTCTTAGCAGTGTAAGTGAAGGAAATGTTTAGGCCTACCTGACCTGTGTCATACAGGCCACAGAACTGTTTACTTCTGTATTGGGCCCATCTATTCGAGCTCAGTCCTTTAAGATACAGAGGTAGCGTTGAATTAATGAATTTTGTGAAATGGTAGTTTACCTGTGAAAACTTAAGAGCTAGTAAGTTAAAGGAATCTATAGCTGTAGGTGGTTGCCTCAGACTCTGCTGAACCTTTCAATGAAATGTTTCTTCCTCAAAGCTCTGTCATTTCACATAAGCATGGAAAAGGGCTCCAAGGGATCTGGAAGCTGTAGTACTCCCTCACTTCTCTCCCATGGCTCCATTATACCACTGTCACTTCCTTAGAGATGCTTGTTCTGTTCTTAAAAGCCTGTAGTGGAGGCTGAATGACCCCTGGAGGAAATCTAGGGCCTCACTCTTTGGTTTTTTTGATGTGTGTTTTTTTGTGTAACCCCTATTTGCACAGAAGATGTAGAAGGCGATTTATTTCCTTCCTCTCTGCAAGTCTGCCACTTGAATATGATTTCCCAGCTTCTTGTTTCTAGATTAAACTCCTCGTACGTTGTTAAGGATCTCTAATTGCTCTCTTCTGCTGAAGAGGATCTTTCTTTAGCTGGCCCATTTGTATCCTGAAATGTGGTACTCAAAACTAGAAGTGTCATTCCAGCAGAGGCCTTCTCAAAGTAGCATATAGTAGAAGGATTTCTGTTTTGTACATCCCAATGTGGTGTTGGCTTTTTTGTTGCAGCAAGTAATTCTCAGTCTGGTCTGCCATAACCCCTTCTCTCTGATTCTTACACATTTCCTAAGGGTTCAGTCTATGTCACGGAATCACAGAATGGTAGGGGTTGGAAGGGACTTTGGAGATCACCTAGTCCAACCCCCCTGCCACAGCAGGTTCACTTAGAGCAGACTGGACAGGAATGCACCCAGGTAGGTTTTGAATATCTCCAGAGAAAGATTTCACAGAATTAGTCACAGAATGGTTGAGGTTGGAAGGGACCTTGGGAGATCAAGTAGTCCCAACCCTCACTCATCGAGCAGGGGCAGCTGGAGCAGGTTGCCCAGCACTGTGCTCAGTTGGGTTTTGAGTACCTCCACGGGTGGAAACTCTACAATGTCTATGTACAAAAAAGTGCTTCCTTCTGTTCAGGTGGAATTTCCTTTTTTCAAATTCCTGTCCATTGCCTCTTGTCCTGCCAGTGAGCAATACTGAGAAGAGTAGTGCTCTTCATTCCCTCCCATTGGGTATTTACACACATTGACAAGATCCCCCCAAGCCTTTTCTTCTTCAGGCGTAACAGTTCCGGCTCTCTCAGCCTTTCCTCATATGAAAGGTGCCCCGGTTCTGTTATCAACTTTGCAGCCCTGCACTGGACTTGATCCAGTAAATCCTTATCTCTCTTGTACTGGAGAATCCAGAACTGGACTCAGTACTCCAGGTGTGCCCTCACCAGTGCTGAATAATGGGGAAGGATCGCCTCCTTTGACATGCTGGCAGTGCGTTGCCTAATGCAGCCCAGGATATCATTTACCTTCTTTGCATCAAGGGCACGCTGTTGGCTCACGTTCAACATGGATCCACACAGGACCTTTTCTGCGAAGCTGCTTTCCAGCCAGGCAGCCCTCAGCATGTACTGGTGCATGGGGTTGTTCCTCCCTAGGTGCAGGACTTTGCACTACTCCTTCTTGAACTTTATGAAATACCTCTTAGTCCAATTCTCCAGCCTGCCCAGGTGCCTCTGACTGGCAGCAGAACCATCTGGTGTTCCAGCAATTTCTCCTAGTTTTGTATTGTCTGCAAGTTTGTCTCTACTGAAATTATGTTACAGCTTTTTCAGATGTCATCTTTGGTTTGTCAGTTGAAAACTTCATTTGAATTCTCATCCTGTCCTCCAGTGAGCTTGCAACACTCTTAGCTTGATATTTGCAACTTAAGCCTACGTTCCACTGTAACATCAAGTAAATAAAATATAGTTTTAGTCCTATGGTGGACCCTTTCAGAACCACATTAGATAGTCCTTAAATTATGATAGTGCAACTTTAATAACTATTTTCCGTACAGTAGCTTTTTTCTCCCAACAAAGTTGGGTATGCCAACACTACATTCTTTCACCAGGATCAAACTTGCCTGGTTTCCTGACAATACTTGCCTTTGTTAGAAGCCTCATTAAGACCAGGATGAACCCTGCTGGTGCTGCTTTCCTTATCTACCAGGCTGTTAATTCCCAACATTTGTTTTATGCTTAGTAAGAAACAAACGCTTTTGACATGGTTGATGGAGAAACTTGATTTTGATCTGCCTATGTTCATCCGTGTGCATTACCATCTTTCTCCCCAGACATTTAGAGGGAGAAATGTGATGAATGTAGCAATCAAAAACTTGCTGCTATGAGAAGATGGGGCTGTCCTTGGCTCTGAAGTCTGCTACTAATGTTTGTTTCTTTTCCTGCTGGAACATACTGGAGAATCTGAGTGCAATCCTGGTCTGGTGCTGACTTTAAGAAACACACTGATCTGGTGCTAACTTTAAAAAACACATTGATCTGTTTGTTGCTGACTTTAGGAAACACACTGATCTGGTGCTAACTTTAGGAGACATACTGATCTGCTGATCTAAATATTGCTAACGTTAGGAAACACACTGATGTGGTCGGTGCTAACTAACTTTTGGAAACCTCTCCTTCCATTGCTTTTGTTTAGCTACAGGTATGTTCATATTGCCTATACTGCTGAGGAGGCTCATTGCAAGGCTGCTTGCATCCTCTTTGTGAAGGCAGAATGAACTTGGAAGTATTTTTTTTTAAATGCTGAGCATATTTTTAGAAAAACAAAAGCCCTTTCCCCAAGGAATAGTTGAAATCAGTCTGAATCCCTCTCCATTATGAAGGCTGTTGAATTATCTTCTTTTTTTTTTTTTTTTTTTTTTGTTTTGTAAAGGGGGAAGAAGATACAGGTTTTTAATTTTTTTTTTTTTTTTTTTTTTTTTTTTTGGTCATGGAAACATGAACAATGTAGCTATTAAATTACTTATTCAGGCTGAAGTCAAAAGAACTTGAGGCAATGCGAGATGACACTTGTGAACTTTCTGTCCCTCAATCTTAGCTTGTTGAATCTTTCCATAATCTGTGCTGATGAAAAGGGACTGATGCTAAGTTGGCTTACTTCGTAAAGCCTCAGGAGACAGAGGGCTTCTCCTGCCTTGATGGGTAGCAAGCAGAGATTAAAGGTCGACAAGGTCATCATATCCTGATGTTATGGTGACCAGACGTTTAATTCTGTTTGCTTTACTGCTATTCTCTTAATTCGCTGATGCTGTTCTTTGCAGGTGGAAAGGAACAGCTTGGACTTTGAGGAACACTAAATGTTTTGGCCTTGTCCTGTTGTAGTACTGCTGCTAGCTCTCGTACAGCCATCTATTTTAACAAGAAGTGCTGTGTAGCAGGCAGGCTTCTGCAGCACGGCTGAGGGGTAGGCAGCCTCTCCGGAGGCAAACAGTTAAAACTATATGTGGGTCGTCACTCTTGGACAGTGGAGCCTGGGGAAGGTCTGTGTGATGTGTGAGACTCACAATGGATTCTCTTTTATTTATCATGTGAACAAAATGGGGATCAGTCTGAAATCCATTTCTCAGCTGAGGGGGGGGAAAAAAAAAGGTCTCTTATGGGGAAAAGTGCTGTACCCATTGCAGGAGGGCAGTTCTGGATAGCCATCCTGGGCTCTGGCAGCCAAGCCAGCTGGCACCCCCTGGGGCCAGGGACACAAATGGCAGCATTCATCTGCCCTGTTTCGCACAGAACTGCCAAGTGGAAAAGTTTTGGCTTTTTACTAACAGCGGATATATTCTGCCTTATTTTTGATTACCAGAAATGAATTTTTAGAAGAGGATTACAAATAATTGTAAAGCATTGACCTAAGTAAATTGGTAGCAGTACTCAGTACATCAAATGTCCATTGCCCCTTTTGACTTCAGCAGTTGTTCTGTGAGGGAGATGGTTGGCACCCTCATTAAATGCCATTAGGAGCCATCACGGGTGGCAAATACGTCGCTGTAACTAATTGAATGATGTGTCATTTATAACCGGAGACCCGTAGGGTTTTGTTTTCTCTCAAAGCTTTAGTGATATTTCAGATTGTGACTAGCAAAGCTGGAATTAGGTTTTTAACTATTTTAAACCTGTGAGAACTGTTTAGGTAACCATCTGTCTTGTAACTGCAGTACCTGTGTATATGCAACGTAGAAGCTGCATTGCCATAGAGTGAATCACTGAGGTCAAGTGTGGGCTGTTTGATTTATAAACAAAATGCCTTCACTCTGTGTTGAAATCTTGTCTTGGAATTTTACATTATTGATGCATCTAACTGGGACCTCAAATACAAAATGTTCTTATTGTATAATAAGTGATGGAATTGTTTTCTCTTTAAAACCATCAAAGCTGAGAAGGTGGGTAAGACTTCTGGGCTGCGGCCACATCCCTGTGGTGCTAGTATTTAGGTATCATTTTTATACAGGAGACATACATACAGCATATTAACTATGCTCAGCAATTATACTCTTCTTGAGGCTTCTCTTTCCCTTCTCTTCACTGCCCTAAAGTTAATAAACCCTTTCATTTAAAGGTATTTTTGCACTCTAAACTGTTAAGTTCAATGCCTTTGGAGATCAATGTGCTGTGCAATCTTTTCTGTCTCCCTGCAATGCCAGCTGGTTTTATGTGGTAAATGTAGATGGAAACATAGACTGGGTACTTTTCTTTTGTAAACCTCTGTCTTGGAGGAATGCAAGAGAACAAACACCTGTAGGACAGGTGTATAATCTGTGTGAGGGAGCTAGATACGCATTGCATGGCCCGATTACATGAAGAGCCAGTGTACCAACTGTTAGTGCATTTGCTTTTACAGATTCATCTGAAAACAGTTATCTTGGATATTTTTTTTTAATGGACTTTCATGTTTTCTATTGTAATCTTGTGAATATTTTAATACACTTTTTTTTTTCCCCATTACTGGTTTGCTGGATGAGTCTTATCTGGTTAGGGACTGGGAAGAGAGGGGGACTGAAATACACCGCTCCTCTTTCTGGCCGTGTTCTTCGGTCACTGCCACCTTTGTCTGCTCCATGAACAACAGAGCTGGAGACTTCACCCTGTGAATTGTTACCCTGTACTACCACTTCAGGTAGGAGAACTGAGAAATGCAAGTGAAACTGGAGAGAATACACACAGGAGAGAAATAGCTTCATGGCAGGACAGCCTCTGAAAAAGGGGAGCTGACAGACTGTCAGGCACATATCTTACAAGAATGCTTTCCTTAAACTATCCTGCACCAATACGCTGCACTGGATAATATACAACATTATACATAGGGTGAGAGAGGACATTCATGCCTCAACAAGGTGCTGTAGATTTTGTAACTTTCCTTTCCTCTCCACCCTTGCCATGCTGGGGTGATAACTCAAATAGGATTGGGGGAAAACAGGGGTGGAGAGAGACTTAAGAGGACTTTGCAAAACTCCAGTATTTCAAGGCCTTCATTTTCCCAAAAGTTGAATCTTGAAGAAGCTACTCTGTCTCAGTTACCTGCTTTTCCTGGATATAAATTGCTTCACTCTAAGACTCTGTCACCAGTACTGTGTCACTCCCAGCACAGTGCAGCAGAGTCAGGTGGGGGCCAGCAACTCATTGAAGGCACAATCCACAATCAGTTTCTTTTAAAGAGACAATATAAGACACACAATTTCACTTCAATTTAAAATGTTGCACTTTATTTAAATGTATGGAGATACTTTGTTATTTGCACTTAGAAAACACCTGCTCTCTAGGCATTTAAATTTCCTCTTTCGTTTTCTCAGAGGAAAAAAAGATTAAAATTAGTGAAGCTAGGTCCCATGGGGAAGGGATTGTGCGTTGTTGGATTTGACCTGTTGGGTTAAGCATCTCATTGCTGCAGCTGCTCTTGTTGTTTTGCTTTTAGCTCCTGCTTATACCTATAGGAGGAGAAAAAAAAAAGCACAGTCTAAGAATAGAACACTAGTTACAATAACAGTGCCTGCCTAACAACCTGTTCAGCAGAGGAGGTTTAAAATGGCAACAGACTTGAGGGTGGAACCTCAGGGTAGGATAGTTTAGTTCACCTAAGAAGTTCCAAATTAGTTGCTAAATTTGCCTCATTCCTTACCAGTACTGAAGCTAGAAAACTCCAAATTTTCCCTCCAAAAATAATCTTAAAAATAGAAATAATAATGAAATGCTGCTCTGCTTAAGAACCCTTTGATCCAGCTGGAACTGACATGATTCAACACTGAAAGCTGATAGAAGTGCAGAGCTTATGGGGAGGAGGAAGTCTAGACTGTTTGCCAAATAGACCTACTGCTTTTAAAGAATGTCTTAAACCCAGAATCTACAGTTTACATAGAGGATTCCTTAAAATGTGCTCTAGCTATAGTGAAAATATTTAAAGCTTTAGTCCCACTAAAAATGTAGCAAAATAGCTAAGCAATATTTAATTAATTGGTCAGTTCCTCTTGCCTGTTGCGCTGACATTGAGGATGGCAGAATTACTAAGTTCCTTGTTAGGATTAAGTGGTGTGAATAGTTATAGTATGTAGAGTAGCTCTTCTTAATACATACCTCCATATTCGGAAGAGTTGAGAGCCACCAGCACAGCCAACAAAGAAGTTCACAGCAAACAGACTCCAGTTTTTAGGAATAATAACTAGAGAGTACCTTGACCAAATAAGGCCTGTTGAATGAAAAGGAAAGTTTAAAGATGTTAAGTCTTTAAAGTGAAATATTCAGACATTCCCCTAAGTTTGGAGACAGAATCACGGATCAGTTTAAGTAAACAAGTTTTACAACTTCATGTTAGACAACTGCTTTTCTTATAACTAGCCATTTCTCAGTTGAAAGTACATCAAGTGCCAGTGGGGCAGCTACAGGTATGTACTGTATTTTTCTAAAATAACTAGACAGTAAGGTCAATCATAGTCTTAATTTCAAACAAAGATCCTCTGTACTTTACAGCAGTCTAAACCTCAATTCTCCAGCACAGTTGCACAGTGGCATTTTGCTGTAGTATATGGCACTTGCTGCAACAGCTTAGACATGACAGAATCTACCCGTCGAGAACGGTTTCCGTATCATGCAAAATGCCCAGCACTGTGTCAGGTATCAAAATGAAGTCCAGAGAAGGAAGAAAGTGGCAGCTGTAATTCTGGTTTTCAGCTTCAGCTGCCACAAGTTCCATCCCCTGACAAGATCCGGTAGAACACCAGAGTAATGGAATATTGTTTCTGCCAGTGTGAAAATTCATGGCAGACAGCAGTGCAGCAGTCCATGTACCGCTGCTTCCAAGTTCTTTTAACACATGGAAATTCTTTCCAGTTACGTTAGTGTAATTACCCTGCCATTGCTTAATCCCTTAAAGTCTGTTCTAAAAAAGTCACTATATCCTGAACTGATTTCAAAATTACTTGACCTGGAGCAAAAGAGGTCACTCGGTGGAATGAGTGTAACTTAAGAGATGAAACTCATATCCTAACTTGTAACAACTTGCTCTGAACAATTCCAAATTAAGAGGTGTGGAGAAAACTGTT